TCCCCCACGCCGATTTTGCTGCCCTCTGGCGGCGATATGTGGGGAAAATAACCAAATATCCAGAATTTTTGATTTACCTTAATATTTTACCGAAAATAATAATATTTTTGGTTATTTTGCAATTTAACATGGAAAATAATCATTTTTTGATCATTTTTATTTTCTCATACAAAGTAATAATCAATAATTAAATATTTGTTTAAGGCCATTAAGATTTGAAAGAAAAGACCAAAGAAAGGACTGTAAATAAGTGAATGAAAAATTAGATTTTTGAATGAAAAGCTCCCTAAATCTTAGAGAAAGCGATAAGAATGAGGATAAATGGGAACCACGATGGTTCCAGCAGTTATGATTCTTGAATATGAGGCTGTGTGATTGATGCTTTATTGTAAATTTGATACGCAAGTCTCTGGGTTTCCTTGGGAAATTTTGACAACGTTGCATGATATCACGGCTTTTCCGGGTTGTATTTCTTCGGCGTTCGCATAGAGAATTTCGCATATAAATAAATTTGTCTTAGCTGGGAGAAAATTCCACTGAAACGGCGTGAGTGTTGAGGAATAAACGTGAGACGCCGAAGTGGGATAATTAATTTATATTTTATTTATTTTATCCCACCAAAGGCGCCCATGACTTACGGCCATGTCAAATAGTCCCAGAGAAAGAAACACCGCCAAGCAATCGAGCATATGATTTATATCCTTCCATATGTACAACTCATAGTGCATGTGAGTGAAATAAATCTTGATATATCGCACCGTTCATAAAACTCAACCCCGTCGATGGCTCACAGTCAACCCCTCCAGAAAGTTGTATTATAGAGAAAAGTTTCTCTCGAGTCCACCCGAAAAAAAACACACACACACACACATTCACAACGTGTTCCGGCAAGTGTGAAAAGGAGGTGAGAATAAAAAATATTATTGCTGATTTCCTCAAATACACACCCTATTCATGGGGACTCTTGCGGGGGCGGTATTGCAATTTTCCACCGTTCACGTGGGCGGCGGCGCCCATTCACTCGATGCCGCAATAGTAAATCTCCCTTTTCGCCATTATTAAATTTTCACCCTCATCCCCGCCGCCGCCCTCGAAAGCCACCCTGGACAAACTTTCGCAACTTTTTCTCCGCCCTTTTCGCACATTGTTACCACGGAAGACTGTCTATTGTGTGTGACTTTCATCATTTGCCTTGGGGATGGAAAAGTGCCCGGAAAGTTGATGAGGAGAAAAAGTGGCAATATTGCACAAATTAATGATATGGCAAGTGGAGTGATTTCTCACATCGAACACTGTGTGTGCTCCTTTGATACAATAAGGGAAAATAATAGTGTGTGAGTGCAAAAGTTCTGATGAATTGAAGTAAATTAATTAGAAATTATTATTATTATCCACAAGATAATTGAATTGGAGCGGGAAATTTCACAAACTATCTTCAAAGTATTTCTATTGAACAAGGGGAAAATCACTAGTCAATTTCTGACGAATCTTATTTAAATATTTAGTATTCATGTTTTATTCAATTAAATAAACTGTCATAATTATGAATTCGTAAAACTGCGTTGCAAGTTGGAAAATTCACGTAAAAATCAAGAAAAAAGCCAGTAACAATGCTGATTAGATTGATTAGCACAGTTTGACACTATTTATCTGTCAATTTTTGTACATCTAAAGACACAAAATTGAGGTTATGTATTTCAGGACACCCTTCAAAGCCTTTCCTAGGAAATTAATTGGTTTTCCAATGCTTTTGCAACTCTTTGCGTTCAAAACATCTCTTGGTATTTGTCGAAAACTCTTAAAATTGCATCACAGAAAAGAAGTAAGGAAATTGCTTTTTGACAGCTGAAATTCGTATTTAATAAACTCCTAATTTCATTCATACTTTACACTAGCGTCGCTGGGCGGTTTGTTAATAAAAGCTATGAAAAGCGTAAAGTTACAACCGAAATTGGTAGTTTTTATGAACTGAAATACGAAATCTGTAAAGTTACAACGACTCATAATTTTGCAAAATATTCAAATATTGAATATTTTTGTCAATAGGAATTTTTACATGCCTTTAAACTGCTGCCCTCTAGTGGCAATATGTGACAAAAATACTCATTTGATAAAATATTCAGAGAATATTCAAATTTTTTGTATATTCACAAAGTTACTGGTCTAAATTCACTAGTGGCTCTCCCTTTGGCAGTGAAACGTAATATAATTATAATAACATGAGTTTGAAGCGCACTTTCATCAAGATCCGCTCATCTATAAGTGGATACGCAAATTTGAAACAAACTATTTCATTAAAACTTTTGCATCGACCTGAAATAATTCGTTCGGGGGAAGCAAACAGAAATTATGGGCATTTCTGTAAAAGTGTATAGCGAAGGCATTATGATTGGAAAAATGCCCTGACATCTTCATTTCTGGCAATTTTTCCTTATTTATTCGGCGACCACAAGCCAAAGCATCCCCCACGGCAGCCATCGTCACCACCCAATTAGTATTCCAGTGGCATTTCCAGCTCAGACCAGTAGCTTTTTCGGGGCGCCACACGGAATCACACAACAGGAAGAGACAGCGGGAGAAGAAAAGCCAATTGCTCAGACGAGCACACAATCCTTTTTCTCCCCCATTTGCTCTGCATGTAAAATCTCAGATCTGGCCACACACACACAAGCATCCCTGCAAATTCACCCCTGAGCAAACTCCACTGCGTTAATGATGTCCTCCGTGGCCTTTTCTTGTCTCAAACTTTCACCTCAAACCACACTCTCTGGCATCGACTTTGTAGTCCACACGGCGAAAAATCTATTGAGTGGAGAGATTATTCTGACTCATTAATTACTTGGGCAGATTGTTCAGTCAATTGACAGCTCACAGAGAAGTTTTCAAACAAATTTATATTGCGTGATTTTGACCAAGTTTCCACTCTAGGCGAACACTCTAGGCAACTTTTGCACCCAGAATTTCACCAGTCGTCGTTAGAAAGCGCCTAAAGTTATGTGCTTTAGAGTTACAAGTGTGGCTGTGAATTTTTTCCCCCCAATTCCAAGAGACACTCAAGAGGCTCTTCATATTCACAGTTGGGATACAAAAACCATATTGTCTCTCGCGTGTGCAATTAAGTGAGGAATGCAAACTTCTAATCTAATTAAATAAAGCATGTAACGTAGAATTTCATACCGCATTTTCTGATTAGACTTTCCCCCGAAAATGCATTCCGCAGCGCTTGAAAGTTTTCCCATGTGTGTGTGCAAATACTTTGGGTCCACTATATATCGCATATTTTTGCCACATTTGAGGGCCGAGTGAATACCTGGGAAGATTTAAGATGCTGCAGCGCATGGATCAAGAAATTGCCGCAAGAATTGAAAACTCCTCCGAAGTTATGTGAGACACTCGGCCTCGAGACTTGCTGAAACTTTCCACACCCCCGCGACTCGGCACAGACTTCACGGCGGAGCTATTTGCAAATTTGCTGCATGGCAAGATAGATAGTTGAGCTTAGGAATTATGCATCGATGGCGGGGGAGGGACTTTTTGTTTCTTCCTACCTTTCATGTCATAACCTCCTTTTGCCTTTGTGCACAGCGCGCGTCTTCCATTCTCAGAGCCTCAGCAAGCACACATCTTTGAATATTTTACTCACGTGAAGAGACACACAGCTCTGCACTCCGCTTTCGGCATTCACCGTGAGCGCGCAGACCTCCAAGACAGAGAGTGAGACATGCACCGAAAACCATCATAGCATCGCCGGAATTATGAGGCAAGAATTCCTCTCTAATATTTCCATAGAACGCGCATTGGTGGAATTCTCTCCGTGGATTTTTTCAACGCATCTTCTCCAGAGCGTCTCTCTGTGGTGGAATAAAAACTGGCTCACTCACTCCCCCCCCCCCCAGCCCAGAGACCCAACATTCTGAGCATAGTTGGTTTGCAAGAAAGCGAAAAGGCCCGTGGAAACAATTCAAATAGTCGCGAGAAAGATAGTTCTTCGCCAAAGAAGTTTGCTCATATCTATAATTTCTCGTAATTCCTGAGATATCATTTTGAAATTCACTATACTGTCTTTGCTCAATCTCGACCGCCTTCGCGGAGGTTCAGTTATATGTCTTCAAGACAGTTGATTTTGTGTGAAATTTCATGGGAAAAATCGTTAAAATCAACAGTCCAAGGACTAATTTGTCATTGTAAGTCCTATTTATCTCCTAAAATTGTGTTTTAATAAAGATATTCCACACAATTCGTATCGATAAGTATCGATAATTGTCGATAACTTCTTTCATTTCAACGGAATCAAAAGGAAGTGAGATAACTTCATTACATTATGTCTTTCAGCAATATTAGTTCGTTAGCACACTTGGTTTTTCCCACGTAGAACTTATCGATAGTTAACGACACTTATCGACATTAAGAATATTTTGTTCTTGACTGTCAATTTGGTCTATTTCATCCCAAAATTGAAGGAACTTAAAAGAAATTGCACACAATTCGTGTCGATAAGTATCGTTAAGTGTCGATAACTTCTATAGAAAAGTAAAGAAAGTGGGTTAACTCCCTTAGATGAAATGTTTAAATGCCTCAGAAGAATTAAAATAAATTTTCGTGAAGGTTAAATGTTAATTTACTTGAACTTCAGACAGTTTAAATCCAATTGATTTTACATCCATTGCTAATTGAAGCAAAACTATTAAGTCACTGGGACTTGGGTAGCAATAAAGCCTACTCACTCACTTCTCCGGCACTTCGACGTCGGGTTTCTTTCGCGTGTGGCGAGTATGGTTTGGCGTACAGTGTCTTGGGCCCCTCTCACCATTCCACGACTTCATGTGTGTGGGCAACACAATCAAAATAAACGTCTCGTAGAGCCACTCGTGCGGTGTCCAAGAAGGTGAGTCGAGGCGGTTGGAAAAGGTGAGAGATGAAGAATGTCTAACCAATACAGCCAACCGTCACCATCGCGGCCACTCTGGCTCACCTCCACTCTCGCTCTGAGCTTTAGTTGCAAATTAGAAGCTATGTTGGCTGAGAGTCGCGCCGCGCTGCTGTGAAAAATTTCAGCTCTTCAGAGTGGAAGTTTTGAGGAACTGTGGAAGGCTGTGGGATAGAGGAGAGCGATCTCCTTTTGCACAACAACCCCCCGGAGACGCGGTGGTGAATTTGTGAATAAGTGTGGGATTTACATCGGGAATTGTGTTACAACTCCTTTTATGCAACACTGGGTGGCATTTCTTCATCTTGTGCGACTCTTGGCCACCGCCAGCTAGAGAGGCCAGTGTGCTGGAGAGTTTACAGTGATCGGTGTTAGTGGATAAGTGAGTGGTCTTAACGGTAAACGGCTTTTCAAACACGTAACTAGAACAACCACTGAGATGCTGTAAAATTAACCATCAATATGGAAAGAGAGGCGAAGAAAAGCAATATCGCGGCACAATCAAGTGTATAATTGAGAGATTCACCGACCTGTTTACCCTCCAAGTTCCGGTAGAAGCGCACTTCCCAAGGGGGATTCCCCGTGCGTGGGGAAACCGTTAAAGACACCCCCGCAAGATGGCACTTTAACCCACTTGATGAGTCGCATTTCTTGGGCAGAAAAAAAGCCACATAATCTCATTGATGTCACACACTTCGCCTGTTCGGCCTTGGCAAATCTCCCCCAAGATTGCATCCGGTCAAGTCTGCGACTTTCCTTGTGTCTTCGCCAGCTCTCCTTTTTTTGCTCTCTTGCCTCAGCATCTCTCGCTGGTCGACGGACTTTCGTGGCAAAAGAGAAAGAGAGTGGGATGACACATTTCTCCAGCACATGACCAACACTTGCTTTTTTCTCCACCTTCCCTCGGCGCTGCAGATTGTTTGCCGAAGAAAGTTTCACCCAAAAATACGTGTCACAAGCCAAAAATGCTCAGCTAATGAGTGTACAATTGATGTATATTGATTTCTGTGGGTGTGAGAAGAAGACCTTTTCCCCAATCCACGAAAGCGTGACACTGAGCAATTCCATCCCACTCAAATCCTCCGTCTTTTGGAGTCGCGCTGACTTAACCACCGAATGATGATGAACATTTGCTAATTCCAGTAGTTGCTGTCAAGGGAGAGATAATATGGTCAGAAGTGGTGTACAGTTCAGCAGAAGAAATTAAAAAGTGTTTAAAAACTTACAATCTTTCCTTCCTAACTGATTAATTACCCAGATTTTTTGGATTACTTTTGATTTTCACTGAGAAATAGTCATTTTGATCCTTTTCTTAGTTATGTAATGAATCAACGATAGATTTAGCGATTTTTCAGGAAACCTTAATGTTCAAAATCAAATAATAATTTTTTTTTAATGAAATTATAAAAAGAAATAATTACTTTCCAAGAAACATTACAGAAATTAATCAAATTTTGGATAATATAATCAAAAAATGATTATTTTCCAGGGAAAAATTGCAAAATAATCCAATTTTGAATAGAAATTTTTAAATTTTAATCAATTATTCAGAAAATAATTTTAAAAAAAAATCAAAAATTTGTATGAAATAATCTTGGAAAAAATCAAAATTTGACTAATAATCACCAAAAAACACTTGCAAATTACAATAACTTCTAACATAACCTCAAAAAAAAATAATGTGGATTTGAAAAATGTTTATTTAAAAAACTTTCAGGACGATTTCGAGTCTGAATTAACAATTTTGAGTTCATTGGCAAAACATAACAGATGATTTCGTAAAACGGTGTCTTTAAAGATTTCTTGGAGCTATTTTTAGATTTTGGTCTGAAAAAACCTAAGAAAGTCTAAGAATTTCATGTGCTAGAAGTGTCAGGCATATTTTGAAATGTCCAGAAAGTGGTGTACAGATTTAGGGCACATTATCTTCCCCTTGGTTGCTGTCGCTTCTCTCCGCCGACCATTAGCGAGCTAAGACGGCAACAATGAAGCTCCTCAGCGAGAGAAGCCAAAACCAATTCCCATGAAGTGATTTTTATCGCGGCCCAAAACGACCTATCGCGAATTAGGCGTCATGTAATTTACACAAACTGAGCAACCCGATGAAAATCCCAAAGAAATCGCACACAGTTTCATCATGGAAGAGAGACCCAAAGAGGCGCATTTCTTCACTTCTTTTTCTTCTGCTCCTCAAGACACTTCCACACAATATTTTCCCACAAAAAAAAAACACATCACACCTGAATGTCCAATGAGCATCAGAGAGAGAAACATAGTGCATGACTAATGGTCCTCTCGCTCCACTGAAAACTCTCTGACTGCATACAAATGGCAATTGAATTCTTTTGTGCACACCAAAAATTGCTAAATCTCCACATGTGAAAAACCGCGCTTTGCTCTCAATCGCGACACTGAATTGGCCCACCGAAATAAAGCCCTGCAATCCCGCAGAGTTCAAAGGTCCAGAGAGAAGTGCAATAAAGGCACCGAAAAGCACTCTCGAGGGGCAATTCAACAATTGTCAGACTGTCAATAATACTTCTCGAGTGAGTTTGTAAACAACTTTTCTGCAGATTCTCCACAAGAGAGAAATATATGTGAGAAATTGAAAGAAATGCATAAGCGATTCTCTTCTTTTTTGACATGATGAAGCTCATACAAATGTTTTTCCGAACTTCAAACTTATATTTTTCTTTGTGGTTTTATTTAGATTTATTTCTCTGCACACTTCAAAGCCTTCAAAGTGTTTTACTGGTCAAAATGCTGTTCAAAAGAAGATTTATCAGAGAAGTTTCTTGTGTAAACTCAATATAAAAGCAATAAAATGAAACTTTTCTTATCAATTTTGATATGTTAATGAAGAGTGAAGTTTTATAGTTATGAATTGAATATTGGAGCGATTCCCACTCAAGCAAGCAATGTTAAAAATGTGTTACAATAGTTTAGGACACTCTTTTCTATTCTAAATAATATGTTTAGAGTTTAGATAGATGATTTTGTCAAAAATTTCGAAAAACACCACCTGTGTTATGTAGAATTTTAATTAACACATGTTAAGCCAATTTGTTCCACCTGAAAGTGTTATTTCCATCATCATCCAGAGGTTTTTTTTTAAATTTCCTAACATGTGTTAATCAAAATAGGCTTAACATATGTTAATCAAAATTCAACATAACACAAGTGGTGAATTTTGTGTAGAAAGCAAAGTGACAGATCGGAAACTGCAAAATAACTTCCAAAGATGGGTAAATTTGTGACTTTGGCTCTAATTTGAAGATTAAGCTGTAAAGTTTTAATGTTTAACATTCCTCAGTTTTATTGGGAATTTGTCCAATATTTCGTTTCTCTCTCAAACTCTCATTTCCTCTGTTGACATGTCTATAAAACCGCATTTGAGAAAATTCTCTCTAAGCTTACATAATTGAAAAGAATTCAGCCATTCAATTAAAACTCCGACTAGGCAACAAAACTGGAACAATTTTCCACAAATAATCGATTTAATCGATTAATTATAGCCGCTTTCCTCGTCTATTGCCTAGCATTAGACCACTAATGCACCGGCCTTGATTTAATATTGCTCTAAAATCTAAATAATGAGGCGGATCAGCGCTAAACCGGTTATTGATATTCCCAATCTCGATTCTAAATATCATCAGATCCAGTATTGTTCTGTGTGCTCTTCGCATTTCATTAGCAATTCCAATCAGTTTCTTCGCTGGGAAGGACAAGAATTTGAATAGAAAATCATAAATTACCGCCAGTAAACACAAAAAGTTCAAACTCTGCGTACTTTGAGTGCGTCTGAATGTCTTTGCGTGTGCAAGAAAGAAGCGTGTGGATCAGAGACCCAGTGAAGGTGGTTTCCAAGGGGGAGATAATATGCCTGACACATCTAGAACTAGACATTTGTAGTCTGTTTCCGCATTATTTCCCAAAATAAAATGAATCTTTTAAATGCTTTTCGATATTTCTATAAGAATCGACTTGAAATCGCCTGTTTTTAGACATCTTTTCTGATCATAACCTCAAAAAATCACAATGAAATCTTTAAAGCCATCGTTTAGAAGCTTTCAAGATCACATAATCATCTCTTATGATTTTCCAATGATCTTAAAATTGCTGATTCACAGTCAAAATTGTCCAGAAAGTTATCTGAATGGATATTTTTAAATTCTAAATGACTATTTTTGAGGTTATGTTGAATCTAAGCACAATTTGCAGTGTTTATTGGCATGAAAAGATAAAAAAGCACTGTCAATTGCTTGCAAATTCTTAATTATCCCGAAGACTAGTAGAATTTATGTTCTAGAATGCAAATTATCAACTAAATCTGTCCTTAATTCGTGACATAACCTAAAAAAAAGATTTTTCCGTTTGTTTCTGCGTGAAAATCGAAGGAAATTCAAAGAATCTGGATGATTTGTTGGAATATTATGTGCTTATCAACACTTTCACTTCTCAAGTACTCCTGCTGAGCTGTACACCACTTCAGACTGTATTATCTCCCCCTTGGCAGTTTCAATGTTTACTTTGTATGCCAATATGTCGAGCAATTTGCATCCTTCTGACTACGATATTTTTGCCAGCGACTCATTTTGTTTATTGTTTGCAAATCACGGCGATTAACTCTGCGTTTTCACTTTTATATCGCGAACAGTTTCTCGGCTCATTGGCGCTGATGCGCTGTTAAAGTGAATTTGCGTGATTTAATTGATAATTTAGCCCATTTCGAAGTGCGAATGCAACTTCAATAGAAGCAACACGTGAAATTATCCAACACTTGTCCATTATTCTGGTTCGGAGGGCATTTTCATGTGCCTCTGACTATGTAAATTGGATGGTGAAGGAGATTGTTGAACTCTCCTTTGCCCGAGATGCTGTTCGGGCAACTATACATATCTCAGCCAAGAGCTTCACCTTTTCATCGCGGTGTCTAGTTTTTTTTGCTCAGCCGCCGTGAATAGGACGCTCTTCGGCGTGCTGAGCAAAATTTACACTTCTCCATCCATCCATCAAAGCCAAGGAGTTGCTCTCGAACGTCAATTCTGCTGTAATTTCGGTCTGAAGAAAGTATGAATACATTTTGAGTCATGTTTTTCCAGCCCTCCACTTCTTCTTCTTGCGCTGTGTATCCAAATTATAATTCATCTACCGTGTGAAGAGTTCATGTTTTCGCCTTCAAGGTGAGTGAGTGAATCAGTGGGACTAGAAGCGAAGATGTTTAAATGTTTTTTGCCTCTTTTTCACTTCTTCACTTCCACCCAAAACCGAAAACAGCCTGAGAAGTCCCGAAATACACACCAGTCGATGAAGAGATATTTGTGTGAGAAAAGTGGCTGAGGAATGGCTGTGAATGTGTTCTGGAAGTGAAATAGGCGAGAGTCAAGAGTAAGCATTT